CCCAAAGTAAAAGCCAATTCCCTCTGGTACAATGGCTACTGCTTTTCCATTGTGCCTTAGGGAAAACAAAGCCCCCTGAAACATTTTCTCACTACTGGAAGAGTCACCTTCCTTTCTGCTCCCTGCTTTACACCTCCTTTTGAACTGCCCTGGAGACACTGCACGGGAAAAAACCCATAACATCTGAAGTGTCTAAACAGGCAAATCCATTTTTTATCACAGGTACAACAAAAATGAAAAGGAGGGGCAGGCTTTGCATTCCCCTGTGTGTGCACAGGGCACACACCATTCCCAGGCTGTGTTCTGCCTCTGACAGGGGTGCTCCATGCACTCTCTGCTTTACTCTCACAGCTTCCAGAAAATCTTGCTTCTCTTCTGTTGGACTCCCATCATCTACCCTCACTATCTTCCTGAGGAGGAAGACTTCCAAGTTTATCAGTTTCTCAGTTTATCAGCTAAAACACTTTGGTGTTTTTAAATCTGCTGAAAATACACAGACCTTTTGAGAATCCACAGCATTAAAGTCTCACAGCAACTACCATGGTTCTGTGGAATAACATGGCAAAAAAATACACAGCCAGCAATTTTCAACAACTCACCCATTCTGTGTTGCTCAAAATATCCTAAATTAATTCCCTCTCTCAATTCACATTTTAGTTGTGTGTTTTTCTGCGTTTTAAAGTCAGTTTGGTCATTGTTAGCTTGAACAAAAAACTTTACTCCCAGAGGAGAGTCTTTTCAACAATTTTCTGGGGACAAAGAGGAACAGAACATTGAAAATATGAATTTATAATGAAATGGGAAACAAAGGAACATTAGAATTGCATTACTGAATCGGATCAACCTTGTGCACTGCTCTGTCTCCAACAAAGCCTTAAATATAGCGAAGTGATAATACTGCTGTTCAGAAATAGTTTGTTTGAGGGTTGACATCCAAATCCATAATTCCAGTCACCAAGGATTTCACAATCTTAATTTGAATGACGCTCTCTCTTCTTTGTTTGCCAGTCTAGACAGTACAATGAATACAGTGATTTAAAATACAATGAATTCTCTCTTAAAACAAAATATTTTGTAAAATTGCTTTTTAATCATTTCTTTTCTCCCTTTCCATAAAGGCTACACTATAAATAAACCCTGAAAGTTCGCATTTGATCATCATTTCTAAAGGCTGGGCAAGAGGCAAGTGAAGGGTTTACACAGAAAAAAAAGAGAGGCACTGTGGAGCAGAAATAAAGGGATGCATTCATAATTTCTAACCTTTTGTTGGAGTGTCAATGCTGAGACAGATACAAGCCAGTAAACACTCTGCTCTCCATGGAGAGAACCCAGCCCTGCAGGGTTATCCCTGCCTGGGAAGGGACAGGGAACCAAACTCCCCAAGATCTCAGGACAAGGTGCAATTTTGCTGCTGGGAAGGTCAGTAGCCACTCAAACCCACTCGGTCCTGGTGGCTGAATTCCACTCTCCAGCATCATCTGGGGCTGGGGATCCAACACTTACCAGCTGAGGAATGCAGGGCAGCCCCATCAGGCAGTGGATCTCCAAGGGAAACCCTACTGGAAATCCAGGGAAAATCCTATCTCCTAGGGAAGCCCAACTTTGACACAGCATCTTAAAGCTGTCAAATTTCAACTGTTTTCCCTTCAATAATGGAAAGGAAAATGTTTCTTTTAACTGTGTGTGGGAGGAGGCACCAGAAGATGCCCATCAGCCTGGTCAGGAGCCACAGGAGGTGCAAATTTCAGGCTGAGAGACACATCTTCTCTGATTCCCTGCCCTTGGGATCCTCCAAGAGCTACCTCACAAAACCCAGCACATCCCACAGGAGGAGACCACATCCCCTGGGACTGCACAGGGAGGCCAGTGAAGCCCACTTGTGGAGAGAATCACAGAATCAACTAGGCTGGAAGAGACCTTGGAGATCATCGAGCCCAAACTAGAATAGTCCCCAAGTCTGATTTTCAGCTGTGACTCAAGGACTGATGAGGTTGAATATTACTGAAAATTAATGGGATGTGAGCCTTAAAGTACACAGCAGATGAGAAATCAGATTTAGGGACACCAGTCTTAGTTTAGAAAGTCAAGTAACAAAATCTCAGTTGGGCTTTTTCTTTATTTTGAGACTTTTAAAAGTGTATCCAAAGTTAAATAGCAAGGCATCCAAGCACAAATGTAACTTCCCAGCTGTGTTCTCATCACTTGGTCATTTTGGTAATCCCAAGAAATGCTTGGACTTTAACCTAAGGTAATTATTAACAATGAAACAACCACAGATCATCTCAAGTTCTCCTGTACCATTTCAGTGGCTGAAGGCACGTGGCTGCACAAAGCACCAAACTGGGGGATCTGATGCTCACACTCAGATCAGTCTCACCTCTCCAGTGTTTCTGTTCAGTTTTCCTGTCACAGATCCAGCAGCAGGAGGAAAGTAATGTAAATGTTGTCCCATTCACAACAGGCTGATTTCAGGATTCAGCAGGTGTTAACCTTCAAACTATCAGAGTGACTTCCCTTACACTTCTAGTCCTCACAACAAATAAAACAAATAATGTTCTATGTAATAATTTTCAATTATTTTGCAGCAGTGAAGAACCTCTCTCACTCATTTCTAATTCCACACACAAACTCAGCTAACAGATGTCTTTAGCATCATTTTAAGAAGTTCAGTGACAGATATATTTGGATTTGAGGGGCATAAATAGATTTCTTGAAATGCTGATGTTGAAGAAATACTTTTAAACTTCTCTAAGAATTTTAAGCAAAGCTGCTATTTCCTTCTAGACTTTTATTTAGGGATTGCTTGTTCCACAGCTTGGAGATGCAAAATTAATCTTATCTGTGTTTACAGGAGTTACATGAGTGTATTTCTGCAGAACATTATTTTTAGTGGGATATGACTGCATGAAGAAAGCATGTGATGGACCATATACAATATTTTTATAGTGTTTTTTTTCCCCCACCCTTAAATTTGAGTTATAGGGGCAAATCTTGGCAGCATGCACAAAGCCCAGAATCTGTAACTCAATTCTCTGTGGGTTTCTAGATGGAGCGAGCCAAGTTTTAAAACACATTATGAATAAATATAAGAGCTGAGCAAAAAATTCACACCTAAGACCAAAGTGTGAAAATTTGGCTTTGATTCATTTAGTGAAAAGGTGGAAAATTTCACACAAGTTTGTGTTTTCCTTTTGCTCTGATCCAACATAGATTTCTGTGTGTGTATCAAACCTCAGAGAGTGAGAAAGAGGAAGAGTTTTGTCTGTCTGTGCACATGAGAGACAGAGCAGGAGGGAGAAGAGGATGGAAGGATGGAGGGCTGGCAAGCAGGACACCAGCTCAGGTCTTGAATCACTCTTCCAGGAAAGGTCACAGGCCTTTGGAATCTCTCTGTCCATATGTTCAGGAACAGCACTGGCCCTTCTTAGAGGAATAT